CCTGCCTCTGCCTCCCGAGTGCTGGGATTAAAGGTGTGCACCTGGCTTCTTCTTTATTTTAACTATTAAACTTTCTCAGATTTATCCAAATAATTTTTAGTCTTTCTTTCATATTCAGTTCTTCTCTGAACAGTCCCAGACTCTGGCACAGTCAACTGAACAACATATTGTATTTTGTCTGCCGCAGGCTTTGGGCCATCTACTCCAATGAGCGCTGTATCCTTTTGGTAAAGTAAGAAATTTAGAAGCCAAGCCATTTCTAGGCTCTCCTCATAGGCAGGGCTGAAAATAAATATAAATATACAAATGCACAGACACATGCAGGGTGTAGGGGTGACAAAGGGATGGCATAATGAAGGAAGCTGGGTCTTTTAAGGAGGCGGGTGCTTGTTTAGTGGACACGTGTGGGAAGCTTCCCAGTTGCCTTGGTTCTTCACACAATGGGAGAAACCTATCTGCAACCTCAGAGTGTTTAAGTACAAAGAGCTTTCTTACTCCAAGAGATACAGCCACCAAGATAAAATTTTGGTTTTCTTGGTTGCCTCAGCGCTAACTTCTTTCTGAGACTGCTCAAAGTGACAATCATTATTGAACTCACAACTGTCGACCAGTCAAAACTTTTTTTTAAAAGATTTTATTTATTTATTATGTATACAACATTGTGCTTCTGTGTATATCTGCTCACCAGAAGAGGGCACCAGATCTCATAAAGGATGGTTGTGAGCCACCATGTGGTTGCTGGGAATTGAACTCAGGACCTCTGGAAGAGCAGTCGGTGCTCTTAACCTCTGAGCCATCTCTCCAGCCCCCAAAACTTTATGTATTTAAAACTGAAGCTTTATGCGGAAATGTGGTGCCTATGTTTTATAAGAACTCTTCAGGCAGCCAGCACAGGTGGCGCACGCCTTTAATCCCAGCACTCGGGAGGCAGAGGCAGGTGGATCTCTGTGAGTTCGAGACCAGCCTGGTCTACAAGAGCTAGTTCCAGAAACCCTGTCTCGAAGAAAAAAAAAAAAAAAAAAACTCTATGAGAAACAAGAATGGGGCTTATCTTCCACCAGCCCCCTTTTCCAACATCTCTGCTCATGCCTATCTTCCACTTAGAACAGGGGGAGAAGCCTCTAAACCATTTATGTGTTTTGACCATTTTAAAAAGTATACCATATTACTACACCTTTCAATGTCTAAAACAAATTTAATATGTATGCTTATGGCACAGTTTTAAACACTGTGGATATAGAATGAACAAAATCACTTTCAACAAGGCTGCTCTGGGGAACTGAAAGTGCAAGTGAAGTTTAAGTCTTTAGGTGATCATTGTTCTTCAAGGCTGAAATAATTCCACCAATTACAAAATCCTACAGGTCATCCAAGCTAACACGAGCGTAGTTTAAGCAAACCTCACTTACAAGTTTCATACAATTGTCAAAGTGTAATGCCTAGGGATTTAGAAATTGCTTTAGGTAGGAAGACTATCGGCATAAAGGAAGGAAGGAATGCTTTTGGAAAAAGACACAAATTTTTTGTTGCTTTTTCACAGTTATATATCTTCAGGATGATCTACCTAGAAGATGGCTCTGGGCAAGCGGAAGTTTTCTCTCAATGTGTCACACACTGCAGTTTTCCGCAGTGGTGGCACCAAGCCTTTTACAACTTTTTCACCTTCAGCTGCCTCTTCATTTTCCCTCTTCTCATCATGCTAATCTGCAATGGCAAAATCATCTTCACCCTCACAAGGGTCCTTCATCAAGATCCTCGCAGTACGTATTCCTTAGATTTGAGTAATAACTGTAGACAGGTAATATTTTTAACTTTAATTGATTTGTTGTGAATTTTACATCATGCATTCTTATACCACTTATCTCCTAGTCTCCTTGCATCCACTCTCGGCTATTGCAACCTCCTCTAAAAACAAACCAGATTTAAAAGAAAAACCAAACCAAACCAAACCAAACAAAACAAAACAAAACAAAACAGAGAGAGGAGGATGGGAGGGAGGGAGAAAAAAGGGGGAGGGAGGGAAGAATCTTGTACTAGAAATTATAGTGTGGTCACACAGTTTACCCTTTAGGCCATTCATTGTTACTTGCAAGTGTTCATTGGCCGGAGGCCTCTGGCTATACCACCTATAATGGGTTCTCACTGGGGCTCCTCTTGAATATCCTGTTTTTGTCCTGTGTCATGGAGATCCTGCTGTTTTGTATCTGTAGGTTCATCCAGCTCCATGTTCCAACAGTTAACAAATGACATGGATGTTGGAGTGCACCAATTCATAGCCCTGGATTCTGGGTCTGGGTGGTATCTGGGTTGGTCAACCTGCCAGCTGTCCCTCATTGTCTCTACCTGCCACTACCAAGGCAAGAGCTAGCTTACCCAATGCAGCCTGCAACAAGCAACAGGGCCAGTTCTCCTGCTCTCAGGTCCCCAGATCCAGTCTACTCACACTCACACTACCAGGGCCAGCTCTACTGGAAAACAATATTTAAAGAGCGACAGTTAGGCAGAGTGGTAGTATATTAGATACTATGGCAAGCAGTTCACAAATTTTAGGTTATTTGATAATTTACAATTGCCCCTTGGAATAATAGTTTTACAATATACTCAATTTATAGATGAGATCTGCTAATGGCATCTCATGTTATCATTTTCCACCATGGAATAAAATAAAACAAGAAAGGATAAGGGGTGGCTCAGAAGTCTCCATACCTTCTTGAAGATTTGTGCACAGTAGAAGATTTGTGCACAATAGTAGATCAGGAACAGGAAAGACATTTTCTTCAGTGGTGTAGTTACTTGTTAAGGTGCCATTACTCCTATAAGCAAACTTAACGAAATTCATTAGGTCATTCAAAACGGGGGAAGGCATGAACGTAGAAATGGGACCATCTGGGAAGAAGAGACAGGAGTAGGAAGGGGACAGGAGAGCTATGGAGAAGGGGATGAATATGATTCAAATAACATTAGATAGATAGTAGATAGATAGATAGTAGATAGATAGATAGATAGATAGATAATGATAGAATCACATATAGATACATAGAGTTACATAGATACATATACATATATATACAGTTTTATATGGAATTTGGATATAGACATTTATGTACATATACAGATATATATCTCAGAATGAAGGCACTATTATATGTAATTAACATATACAAATAAAAACATTTTTAAAGGAAGAAAGGACAATTACTCCATTAAAATTCAGGATAAACGGGGCTGGAGAGATGACTCAGAGGTTAAGAGCACCGACTGCTCTTCCAAAGGTCCTGAGTTCAATTCCCAGCAACCACATGGTGGCTCACAACCATCCTTTATGAGATCTGCTGCCCTCTTCTGGTGTGCAGATATACATGGAAGCAGAATGTTGTATATATAATAAATAAAAAAAAATTCAGGATAAGCATGAAAACATGCTCCTACTGGCTACTCCACCAAATATCTGATATCTAGCATATAGCAAACAATCAATTTCATGTTTTATTGTGTGAATACCTCCATTTTTCAAATCCTACTTAGTTTAATTTTAAGACTGCTCTACTCTTCATTCTTTCCTAGAAGAAAACTTGCTCTAAAAGCATATTTTGTTTCTTTGCTGAGACAGTTTTATTACATAGCCCAGGTTAGCCTTCTGCCTTTGCTCCCTTGGTAGTAGTACGAACGAGTACTACTACACATGGTTGGGGTAGGGCAGGAATCTTTTAAAGTAAATTATCATTATTGGAATTGTTTTTCTTATAATCAATAGTTAAGATTCATGAATCTTTCTTCCATTTACATCCTTTTGCTTTTGTGAGAAAGCTGACTTTAAACACTTACTCTTTTTCTTTATTTACTAGAACTACAGCTGAATCAGTCCAAGAATAATATCCCAAGAGCACGGCTGAGAACCCTAAAGATGACAGTCGCATTTGCCACCTCGTTCATTGTCTGCTGGACTCCCTATTATGTCCTAGGAATTTGGTACTGGTTTGATCCTGAAATGTTAAACAGGGTGTCAGAGCCTGTTAATCACTTTTTCTTTCTCTTTGCATTTTTAAACCCATGCTTCGACCCACTTATATATGGATATTTCTCTTTGTAATTGAGAGACTACAGAAGAACAAATATAGAAGTAAGGTAACTAATTTCACTAGTTGAGAATACGCTTGCAATACACCTATATACAAGCAAGGCAGTGTTTAAGCTAAGGTTATCAACTTTGTTCTTGTAGACAGTCTTTTTGTCAGAGCCTCACATGAAAGGAAAAGACCTCAAATAATATTGAAATTTGTCCTTAATCATGAGTTTCTAAACTAACCTCTGCCTTATCTGTAATAAAATATGTATATTTTATTACATATGATTTGGACTTCTTTTCACTTCCTCCTTAAATAATAAAGTATAAATACTTAAAATAACCATGTCCTAAAGTTAAAAGATACCAAAAGGTAAGACTAGGAAACCGCAATGTGTTTATAACATCAGCATGGTTTGGGGAGCTTTTTTTTTCCTCAAGGGGCTCAGCATCGATAACAGACCGACACTATCATAGTACCTATGACATGGAGACAGAATCACGTCCATATGTCAGCAGCAGCAACAGACTGATGCTATCATAACACCTGGAGCACAGAGACAGCAGAATCACATCCACAGGTCAGCAGCAACAATAGATTGATGCTATCACAACACCAGGAGCACAGAGACAGCAGAAGTATGTCCACAGGTCAATTTTCAACTCCCATTTTCCCTTTGGCTTTAAAAGGATTTTGATTCACCCGGGGTTGGTGGTGCACGCCTTTAATCCCAGCACTTGGGAGGCAGAGGCAGAGGCAGGTGGATCTCTGTGAGTTTGAGACCAGCCTGGTCTACAAGAGCTAGTTCCAGGACAGCCTCCAAAGCCACAGAGAAACCCTGTCTCAAAAAAAAAACAAACAAACAAACAAAAAAAAGGGATTTTGATTCTTATTCAGCAGCCAATTCCATCACCTGGCAGGATTATTGATATGATACAAACTAATCCCATTACATGTTGCAGATTGGGACATACCACTGCACAGCAGAAGCATTAAAGGGGATAGATTTTTTTTCATAGGCTATTAGAATATTACAAAGACTGTATAATATATGGGGTTTATGTAAACTGACTGCCATGAATACTGATTTAATACAATTAAGAAAAAGCACATACTAATTACCTTGTAAGCATAATATACAATCCATTTTAATAATATGGTGGAATTTTTTGCCTATCTCCTTATCCTACTAAGTCATTTCCCACAAAGAAATGAGGAAAGTCAATGAAAAACATTAAGGAAATACACAAACAAAAAGAGGAGGTTTGACATGTACACAAACAAAAGAGGATGTTTGATGGAATTCAAGATGAGAAACCATACAACTTCCCCCTACAAAGATGACGGGCAACAGCAGAGAATATTGGGGGGGGGGAATAAAGCTGCGAGTATGAAACCAACACCTACTGCTAAAACAATTGCAGTTCCCAAAATATGTCTTCACACTACCACAGGCTTCACTCAACTCAGGTCAGGCTCATCTGTTTCATGACAAATGGGAGGAGGTGAAAATAAAAGGAGTACAGCATTCACTTGGTGGTAAAGTATGAGAACTCAAATTCAATAATTATCTAACAGATATTCATGTGAACTATGTAATGCTATACAAAATATGAGGGTAATCTGCAAATATGCTAGGCCATGTGTGGTAATAGAATGCAAACTACTGACCAATGGCAAATTCCTTCTTCCCTTCCCTTTATTATTTTCTACTTTGTGTTTTACTGTAGTGTTGGGTATTTTTTCAGATTCCACATTACTTTCCAATATTCTCTCTTTTTATCGTCTGTGTTAATCATACTTTCTATTTAAAAAAAAAAACTGGCAGAAGTCACTGATAGAGTTCCATATTCAACTGAGTGGAACGCTAAGTTTTCCATGCATTGTAAGAAATTCTCTAAGTTTACATGTGTACTCATACCAAGACTGTATAGATGACACAGGACATAGCTATGTCACAATAACACCAATGCATACCAAGCATCTTCATAACATACTCATTCCTAAAATTATAATAAATCTTACTTCTGGATTTAAATATATATATATATACATATATATATATATATATGTGGTAAACTTAAGGGCTTTTTCTTATCTCTGTTTAAAATGCACATTGCTCAACTGGTTTCTTATGTATTCAAGAAACTGTTCTAGTCAGGTATTGCCTTGGGCATTTAAAGATATATTTGCTATAGGACTGTCTGGATACAGAGGCCCTTAACTTATGTAGCCAATGAATAGAATTATATGTCAATGTATTTTTGTTCTAGTTATGTTTATATTATTTTAGGCATTTGTCATGATTATACAAAGAAAGAATTTGCTAACTAATCCAGACTGCCAAAAAGGTACAAAAAAGTATAATAATCCCAGCTTGATTATATGTATGGAAATTACTATAATAAAATATATCCCTTATCTGTGTGTTCATATACATGCATACAAGTGTTGATATTGAAACTGCATCACTTCAGTATGTTTAGTCATTCTTTTAAACATTTAATCTTAAGATTCAGTATATTTGGGAAAATTCACAAGAAGTAAAAGTTCTATGTCAATATTGTGTATGGTTTAAATCCATACAGATATGGATTTAAACTAAAGTTTACAGTGTCAATTTAAACATGCCCTTTAAATGAAAGTTATATCACTCAACAGAGTATTTCAAATCTGATATTCCATTCATGTATTGTACTATTATAGAAGATGAAAATTATTCATAGAAAGGAAATGTTATGCAGAGTAAATCCAATATGTCAGATAATTAAACTCTCTTATTTCTTATCTTTCATTTAGCCTACTGAATTAGTTAAAAACATGTATTTCTTTAAGTAATTCAGTTTCTTGAAGAAGTTAAGCAGACTAAATAATAATTGAGCAAATGTTGCAGCAATTCATTTTCAGACTCAGAGAGAACAATACCTTGCAGAATGGAGTCATAAGAATCCTAAACAGTATGTCCCAAGGACTAGAACTGAGTTAGAGATTCCTTTCATGAGTCCATTTCAGAACCTGCATGGTTATCACAAAGAAACTGCATTTTCTCCATAAAAGATACTTTTAGAATTTGTACTAAGATGTACTCTGCTGTAAGGAATGGAAATATCAAAGCAGAAGGAAGGGAGGCAGCACTGGGAAAGCAAATGCAGAGCGACTAACCACAAATTGAGACCAGCCTGGGCTACAGTGTGAGATCTTGTGTCAAAAAGAAAAAAAACCAAGAAAGTAAAGGAAGAAGGAAGCAAGGAAGGAAGGAAGGACAATAAGAAAGAGAGGGGTGTGAAGACATCTCCAATCAGAAGGAGCATAGTCCCACCTCATGTCAGGACACATCCAAAAGTAGCCATAGAAAACTTGGTCACCAGAGTTTTGCATTAGATTCTTTGCTCACACTGGACTTCTTTTATTCTGTCTAGAAGTTATTTGTCACCATTTCAAGGGCCAAAAGGCAATTTCTCATTGGGAAGCCCTTTTCCATGACAACAGCATTTTATCCTGTATCAAACTGTATCATGACAACCCTTAAGCCAAAATCTCTGGGCGAGGGGGCTGGGGGTATCACTGATTATGTTTTTAAAACAAAATTGAAACTGTAAATATTACAAGTTTAAATAGCACAGGATAAAGAACACGGCTTAAAGACTAAATGCTGCACTTGTACATGCTAATTGCATAACACACATAGCTTTAAGAAAGGCTGAGAAATGACCCACCAGTTAAGAGTGCTTACTGTTCTTACTCAGTTCCCATCACCAACATCAGGGGCCCAGAACCTACTGAAACTCTACCTCCAGAAGATCTCATGCAATCTTCTGCCCTAAGGGTACTGCATTCATGTGCACATAGCCTCCAAAACACACACAAAATTAAAATTTTAATGAAATCTTTAGCCAGGCTTGGTGGCATAAACCACCTGGCATTCAGAAGGGAGAGGCAGGTAGAACTTTGTTAGTTCAAGGGCAGTCTGGC